TCAAATCTGTCGCCACGTCTTCATGATCAAAAGTACCATTTCTGCTTTTCTTCAGTACTCGTTTCCTTAAACCACATATTACAGCAATTAAAGAAAGTAAATTTTGTTTATCAATGAGGTTTTGACATGCTTACGTATTTGAAGTTGATGCCTTAACAGTATCAAAAATCATGACCAGTCAGCATTAGATTCCAGCAAATGACCAGAAATTACAACTCAAATTGTTTTTGTGTCTTTGTACTCCAGATGATGGATTCTGCTTAAACAGAAAAGCTGACGGCAGATGATGCTGTACTGATGTTATACTCAATATAAAATACCATCATACTCTTAGAGGTATCAACTACAATTAGCCAACCAAATATATTGAATATTACCTCGCAATACATGATATTGCCACTTGTATGTAGACTATGAAAAAAGAAGAATTTTATTGAATAAAATGGCCCTATTTATATAAGTTTATATGAACAATAAAAATAAACACACTTGATTATATGTCTGCACTTCCCAACACACCCAATTTACTATTTACTAATATATCCATTCACCCTATTTACTATATAAATGCACTTCCCAACACACCCTTTCAAAATTGTGAATAGATATTATTCATTTCTAAATTGCTAATAATAGGCTGAAAACGATGGTTACTGAACCCCTTGCCAATACTTTCGCAAGTTGCAAGTTAATGGACATATACGGTGTGTATATCACCTGCATCCAGCTTTTTTTTGATAAAATATCGATCAACTTTAATATGCTTAGTCATGTCATGTTTTATAGGATTGTAAGCAGTACTAATTACAGATTTATTGTCGCAATTGAGTCTCATATGTTCAGCCTATTGAATTTTCAAATCTTTTAAAATCATCTTTAATTGTAGGAGCTCATACACCCTTTGACTAGAACCCTAGGCTCAGCAGTAGATCGAGATACTAACATCTGCTTCTTAATTCTCCACGTTACTAGGTTCCCTACAAGAAAGGTGTAGTATCCAGATGTAGATTTTTTATCAACTAATGAACCTACATAATCAACATTATTACAAACTTCGAGGAGCACCCAATTGTCTCCTTTAAACATAATTTCCTTTCCTAAAGTATGCTTTAAATAGCGGAGTATTCTATAAGCGACTTGCAAATGCACTTCTATAGGCGGCCGGTGCATTAACTGACTCGTTGCACTCAGTATATATGCAATGTCAAGCCTTTGCAGGTGACAAGTATATCAAGTATATCAATTTATCAACTACTCTACTTCCTCTCTGCTAACCAAGGATATCAAATCATTCCGGGATCAAATCTCTTCCTTCCCCCAAATTTAAACTCTTACCTAATCATACTCTTTATTGAGTCCTGCCACAAATTGGTACTTTCTATGTTTCTCAACTAGTCTTTTCAAGACTGTCGCATCTTTATTGCTCTCCATAGTGATGCCAAATATTGGTCAAGTTCTTGTCATAAGCTTTTTACAAGGTTGGCATATTCAACGAGTGTTATTTTGCCTTGTTTAGTTGTCCACACTTTGACCACCAGGTCATATATCCGAGTTGCATTCTTTCCCTTGGAATAGATTTCTCATATTGCATCCCCAATCTCCTTGACTGTGGGCAAACACATTATAATTATACTAATCTCTGATGCCATCGAATTTCAAAGTTAGACCATAATTATCGAATCTTCTCATCCTAAGCATCAAACCTGAGATCTTCCAATTTTGATCCAGTGCCGACATGATGACTTAACTTTTCTCTACCCTTTTTTTATTTAAATTAAAGAGAAAGAATATTATTATATATTAAGGTACTAAAGGGATATCCCCCGAAAACACAAAATTACAAGTCGATCAGGTGGTTTATGACAACCCCAAAATTTTTGCAATCTACTATATCATAACCAATCAAAATAGAACCAAACGTATGAAACCATTTATTCCTAATATTTACAATGTCTGTTTCAATACTCTCAAAAGACCTAGAATTCCTCTCCCTCCAAATAACCTACATAATAAAAATCAGAATAAGCAATTATTATTTTTTCTTTTTACATAAGCTAGCCCACGCCCACAACTCCTTGCTAACATTACCCGCCATGGCCCACGTCATCCCCATAATCTCATACACGTACTCCCAACTTCTGTAAACCATAAGACAATGAAGTAACAAGTGATTGCATGATTCTTCTTCGGCCTTGCACATGTAACATCTATTAGCCATCATCATACCTCTTTTTCTCAACATATCAATGGTCAAGATTTTTTCTTTAACAGCTTCCCAAATGAAAAAAGCCATTTGAGACGGTGCTTTTGACCTCCAAATTTGCTTAAACAGTGTTGTTTTGGCATTCTCCTCACCATTTTTGACAATAAAGTTATAGTAGGACTTCACCGAAAAAACCTCTTTTCTTGTCTGGTTTCCAGATTCTTTTGTCTTTCACATTGCCCACGTTAAAAACAGCAAGCCAACGAAGCAGATTACAGAATTCTACCTCTCCTTCATCTTTTAAATTTCTTCTAACTTGTATATACCACCCACCCCCCCCTTCTCCCATCTCAAATGCCTTCTGCACAAGAATATCCCTCTCACTAGCAACCTCAAAGATCCTCGGGAATTTATCTTTCAATTTTGAGTCACCAGACCACTCATCCTTCCAGAATTTATTTCAGCTCCATTACTCAGCTGCCAACGTAAACAGTCATAAAAATTCTTGCTGTCGGTGCTGATTTTCTTCCACAAACTAGAACCATGACGCTTATATTTCCCTCTTCTACCCCAATCCCTCTCCCAATCACCCCAACTAGTCTCCACCACCACCCTCCACAGTTTCCCCTTTTCATTTACAAATCTCCAAAGCCATTTGCCATGTAAAACAGAATTTAATTTCGAAATAGATCTCAACCCCATACCACCTTTATTGACCGGTCTCTTAACTTCCTCCCACTTAACTAAGTGAAATTTCCTATGCCCCCTCATCACCCCAAAGAAAATTGCATTGTATCATCTCCAGTTTAGTGACTATGCTGGCCAGAATAGTTAAGATGGAGAGGTGGTATGAATCAGTTGTGACCAGTTCAAGTAATTTTTGTCGTTGAAAGAGTAGGCAACCTAGATTAGCCAAAATTCGTTGTTGTTTTATGTTGAATTTCTTATTAGGAAGTTTATGTCAGTAGATTGAGACAACCTCCGACATCTTTCAAAATGCAATTAGAATTCCCAAGCTATCATGCCGTAAAAACTGAGCATAAGGGGTAATGTGGTATGGTGGCTCACTGTAACAAGGCGCAGCTGTGCAGGGAGCAAGAACAGCAAACAGAGGAAGAGCCAGGGACAAATGCAAAAAGGGGTGGGTTCGTGCTGTGTGGACAAAACTTGGACCCAAGGCTGGAGGGAGTCGGGTACGCGGGTGAGACATGGTCAACCGAACAAAAGCTGTGCAGGTGAGGGTTGCTCTAGCTGGTGGTTCTGGAGGCTACTCTGGATGCAGGCACACGGTTCTGGTGGCTGCGGCCTAGCGACTGCTCTGGCTGCTTTTGTTCGTGCGGCTTGAAGGATAGGGATGGATATAAAGGCCAGCTTGCGGTGGCAGGAGGCTGGTTAGTGGTTGCTGGAGGCTGGAGTGTTAATGATCAGCTATGTAGGTTGACCCTCTCTAAGGCTTTCTTATTTCGGAAATAAAGGTCGATTACAAATTGTAAAAAAATTCAGGATTTTTTTTAACCTAGAACTCTAATACCATGTGGAGAATGAAGTATGAATTTTATTGAATAATAGGTTCTTGTATATACAGATTTATAAGAACAATAAAAGTAAACACAAATACACAAATTACATGAGGGATATATGACTAATATACCCTTTACCCTCATTATACAAATACACTTCCCAACATAGACCAATAATCACAAATACTTCCATGTAAAATTTTCAACCACTTATCATATCACCTGTAGATCCTATTTTCAGACTTCCTCAAATTTTTCTGCTCAATAAGAAAGAGAAGGTAAAATGTGGTATTGGGTTGCAGTACCATTTAAGTCCAAAGGCTTCTCACTAAAGTATTGCCTATGGAAGAAATATTTAAAAATACTAGGAATGCTTCTGCCAACCAGTCCATACCAACATCCCTGGATTTCATAAGTTTGTAAATGACAATCTTGCTAGCGTACCGGATTGCATCAAATGAAGAAAAGCTTACAACCACATTTATGTTGGGAAAACAGGACATGGAACCAAACATAAGTAGGAGCCTGATATTGATAAAAATATAATTTAAAATAGAATTAAATGCAGCCTTACTTTCTTAGCTGTATAGCCTCATTGATAGCCCGATCATACTCATCTGCACATTGAATCTGGAATTAATAAAAGCATTTCCCAAGTAGCAACAAAAATAAAGAAAATCATGGAAGACGTATATCCAAATAAAATAAGAAAACCATTTTTCCAAATAGCACAAAATTCAAGAAAATCATGGAATATATCCAAATAAAATAAGAAAATTTACAAAGTCGACAAGAAATTTAATGCACCAAGTGGGCATGGATAATTTCTAGCAAAAGTAGCGGTTACAATAACCTCAATCAAAGGGACATTCAGCCAAAAAAGAACTTAATGAGAGGGATTCTGTCAAAGGAATTTAGACAAGAGCATAAACCAACATAACCAGAGGATTGGAGTGTTGTGGTTCTAGAAGCATAAACTAACATAATACGAACTGCCACGCGCCACAGCATGGTCAGAAATATTTTTAAAGAAAATATAAAAAGTTTTTGGTAAATTATATCATCTAATTGTTGTCATTAGCTTTCATCAATTATTATCAACCATACACATCAAAGCTATTCTAACTACATAAAGCACACTCTATAATTGGTGTGTCAACCAAAGTAGTATATAGCCTACACAGTGACAGAACCACAAATTCTTTTATGGACATGCCAAATGTAAATATGATTTTACATGTGAGGAGAGGGCTACACTACTGCGATAATTATATATTTCTCAACTACTGTGCAAATATCATGTATATTCTTCAGATTATTTATTTATGCTCATTATGTGTTATAAAAAATATAATATCTATTTATATACATTTTTTTATTATCGTAAAAGAACAGTTAAGAAAGAATACATTATATTGGAAATAATTTGTTTCAAAACGATAACCAGAAATACCTAGATAGGATCCTACAATCGAAATAGTAATACACGCAAGTTACCTAGTTAGTGCATCAAAATAAACTAATATGCAAGTAAATCAATAAATTTCATCAAGGAGAAGAAAAGAAAGGTAGCATAGACCATAATTGATTTGTATTTTTAAACAAAACAAGATATATAATTACGCAAGTTAAGCTAATCAGTAAAACAATTATTTAAATGCATCACGATCAATTCATATGTGTACCTAGATCAAGAAATTTCATCAAGAAGAAAAAACACAAGAGAATAATACAAACAATATGCCACATCCATATCCTGGAAGCATAGGAGGAAAAGATGTCATACCAAATGTGTAACTGATGGGCCTACGACTGCGACAAGAACGAGTAGTCCTAACAGCACCAGAGGAATTTCTTAAATCACTTAGGAGCATCTCTTCCCTTTTCTTCCGTTTCAATGCCCTCTCTTTCTTCTGTTAAAAAAAATATATATGGATTGTTTGTGGTAGATATATATGCACAACAAGATCACAAAAAAATGTACATATGATCTTACCTTCTGAAAGTTCTTAACAACAGGAATTGCATCAGTCTCAACAGTCTTGCCGATAGCAATTTCTAAAAAGGCTTTGCTGGATAATAATTCAGTCTGCCAATACCAAAAATAAGAATAAAAAATTGAAGATAACAGTAACAAATAAGAGCTGTGATCTTACAGAAACTTTTTGAAATTCTTCAAGATTAGTTGCAACTGTTTCCCAGTGGGAATAGATAACAGGTAAATTTGAACATGCTTTCCCCCTCATTTTTCTCAATGAATTCATTTTGCTGATTTCTTTGTACAATCTATAACCTAGGATCGCATTTCCATCATACCTAGCATCAAACATATAAGATAATCAATCTCATACAATAAATATTGTCAAAATATAATATAAGAATACAAAAATTACCAGTATGAAGTTCCATTTGCATGCTCCCCAAGCTTCTCTTTGCGAAAAGATGGAAGTTTGGTTTTCTGCTTCAGGCTGTCATTGATATATGACACGGTATCATCTTGCTAAAACCAGTACGATCCAGTATACAAGTTAGTAAGGACAAAAATCTGCAATCAACATATCTTAACCAAAGCTCTATGTAAAAGATAAGGTTGACAATTTCATATGGGATAAAAAGAACCAATAATGCATATATATACAAGGAATAAAATATTATGCTCTTGACATATGACTGGTTGTTTGAAAATCATGTGTCTCATGGCTTTAATATTTTGACATCTAAAATTCATACAAAACTAGAAAAATAACTCGATTTTACATACACTAATAGTTGGAGAAAACCAAAACCATTGAATTACTGAGCTGAAGCATCCAGTTTAACTTAATAAGAAAATTAGTAACTGAGAAAATCCAAAAAATGATAAATTAGCATATAATCTTCTCTTGTTATAGTGTAGTTTAATGGGGACAAATAAAGAATACTATAAAATGATATACACAAAACAACACAGGCTCTGACATAAATATTTTAGAAAAAGGAATTAAAAATAAATTAGCTGATCAATTACATCAACTCGGATTTCACATAGTGCTTTTAGGATTAGCAAGCGACATGTTGGATCAAGTTCTCTGTACTTATATACTTCCTCTCTGCACAGGCAATGGCAAGAAGGAAACCAAAAGGACATCAATTGCTATATAAAATGAGATAAAGGTTTAAAGCATGGACAAACTTAAATAATGAAAACACATCATGAATACCCATTGCCCGCAGTTAATGGAATATCCCCATAAGCAACCTACACAAATGGGTCCATAAGTGTGGTAAGCATTCGGTGATCCTCGAAGAACCTGACAGTATTTGCAGGAAAGCTCTGAGATGCCTTACCCATGGCCACCACTCAGAAAGTTTCTTACAAAGGACAGTCACCCAAACATCTGGACGATCCAGAGTTTTACTAACTGGCGGGATTCCCTGCCAAAAAATCAGCTCACAAGATATTAATAGTAAGAACAAAATCTCTACCACTTCACAAAACCAAAAAACAAAAAGTTGTGCACGTTCATACATTTTGCAGTACATTCAAAAAGAATGCGTGAAAGCAAAACTACATCCATAGCAGTTGCAGCAAATATGTTAGTTCCGATAACAATAATGAGCAAGCAAATATGTCAGTTTTTATAACAGTAATAGGCATGTTTTTCACTTACCAATGTGAAAAATAGTATGATCTTCTCAAGATTTCCAAAAGCCATTCAATAAAATAAGATCACTAGAAGTATATCAAGGCTATTATGCTTGAGAATAAGATAAAAAACAGGAACCTATTATTGAGAAGATAGAGCATCAAATCCTGCTTTCAAAAAAGCAAAAAAATGAAGAAAGAAAACTCTGCAGGCAAAAACAAATTAAAACAAGGACAAAAACATAAAATAATAATCACAGTTCAGTTCATCCAAAACAACGTACATACAAGCAAGCCCAAAAACGCTATCCACGTGAATCTAAGATTCTCTAGTTAACCATAGTCAAGGGCTTAACGCCGGGAAGAAGCTAAAAAGGGTGCAGTATTTCCAGGACATAAAATAAGACTTCAATAACAAGAAACAGAGAACCTTCAGAAGTGCTATATGAAGCTGAGTATTTGAATTATTAGCCTCAATAAGACCCATCTCAATCTCCTCTGCCGTTAGATTGAAGTCATTTCCAAGGACTGGCTCAAAAACCTGTAAGAAACAACAATTACCCAGTAGAAACATATGCAAACTTTATCTTTCCCTAAAATATCAATACATAACTTCATTTTCCAAACAAAATACACCTACTGTTAGGAAAAAAAAAAAAAACTTCATCCATGAACGAGTGTGCAAGCAATTACAGGCGTAAAATAAATACTACATATCTGAGAACCGAAATGATCCCTTGTAAAAAGCAAAGAGTCAAATTCATACACATTTCTCTTTTTGTTTTACTTGAGGAACCCGATAGTCGTACCCATTTCTGAAACTACTTTATAAATTAAACTTTCTGAACCTGCTTATGTCAACCAAAATAAACGTTCGATGTATGACAATACAAAACTCTTTCCCTCTGAACAAAGATTAACATTTTGAACACCAGACAAGACTAACAAACAATGACCCAAGATCTTACGCTTAAGAAATTGAGAACAGAAGCTAACTCCCATCGTCCGCGAAGCTTTTGGACCTCGGACTCGTGATCGAAAACGATAAACGAGTCATTTCTGATTTCCTCCTCCAACAAAGCCCCTTCTCCGGACATCTCACCTGCCTCTGACACCGAGCTCCGAGAGCCACTGGTTGTATAGAGAGATAATCTCAAGCGTTTGCCAGTATAAAAGAACAGAAAAACTCATAGAAGGAAAAGGGACGGGGAGAACCGAAGCTTTTCCCGCTCAAATTAATTGCACTTAACCCGATGTACGGTTAGCGGTAGAATTCTAGGGTTAATTTCTAGACCGCCTCCTGGGATCACCATATTTTACAGTTCTACTGTTGTACTCGGTTGCGTCCTCTTTCCCCGTAAAACGCACCGTTTAAGCAAATTCCAGAAGCACTTGTGTCTTCCAATTGTGAACTACCAATGGTACTATGGTTACTTTATAAAATTTATTAAATTTTCCTTCAAATAAAATTTGATATTATGTTAATTAATTATGTTATAAAATTAATAATAAATATTAAAATAATAAAAAAATTAAATTCTAACAATTTAAACAAAATTATTTAATTTGGTTGTTGTATTGCATTCAATATAAATATTAATTTTAAATCATTGTTATTTAACTATAAAATAAAATTTATTTTAATAATTTATAAACATAATTATTGATAATAAATTAATACTAAATTTTTATTTTCTAAAAACAATAAAATAATTAAATATAAATTTAATAAACATACATATTAAAATTATTAATTACCTTGTACAATATGCTTCAAAATATATTATTTTCAGCTTTTAATTTCACTTTTATCAAATATATATATTATTCCATTTGAAAGTATTAATATTTTTTAGTTTTTAACTAATTTTATTTTGATAAAAATCCAGTTAAATGTGCATTAAACAACTATTTAGTCATATCAGGTGTTTCGTAAATGATAACTCTTTGCAATACATATTTAAAATTAATGGAGTTAAGCTTACCAAAACTTTATAAAATAAATTTAATATGAACTTAATTATAATTTTTAACTAATTCAACATAAAATTACTAAATTGTATTTATGTCGAAAATGATTCTTTAAGTTTTTATATGATTGATTTTAATATTTATAATTTTATTAACATCAGCATGTATAGTCAAATATAATATTTTTGTACATAATAAACACAAACATAATAATGTGAATTAAATTTACTATATTTTTATTTAATTCAAATATGCATCATGTTTTTATATGATAACATAATATTAGCAATGTTTTTTTTTTAATATTTGCTTATATTTTGTTATTCAATTTATCGTTTTAGTTTAATCTTATTAACATTTTTTTATGCTATTGTACATGTTATGTTTTAAACAAAACACAACTTTTACTATTTTCTCTTAATTTATAAAGAAATTAGTGTAAATATTAAATTTAATTTTAAAATTTCGTATCATATTATAGTCCAATATAAATGTATCATCCGTTGCAATTTAATTATAATATTTAACTTTTACTTTAAACTACTATTGAATTTTTTTTTTAATTAAACAATAAAGTACTCAGCTGTTCTTTAATATTTCTTATACATTTATTTTACGATAACTCTCATCATTTATCTCGCCTATAATATTAAATATCTAATTCTGAATGAGAACTCATACCTTTTATGCACTCATATTTTTTATTTACTTTAGTGCTACATATTGCTGCTTTTCATCAATGATAAAACTATCCACCAATTTTTTTTTTTTTTAATAAATTGCTTCCACAACACATATTTTTTATTAAATTTATAACTCTTACCGTGATTTTAAGTATATAAATAGATAATCTATCAAACAAAAATACTCAAATGCATTTTCTTTAAAATGTCACAATTTAATTGAAGTAACAAAATATAAGAAAAAAAATCAAACGATGCCGAATAATATCAAGTTATAATGAGTAATTCAAAACCAGACCTCCTCTCGTTGTAGTGGTCTACGAACTTAATACTGATGTTGCCACTATAAATGATGGATGGTTATGGTTAGATATTATTTACGGAGATTATCAAATATAGATTATATGTAACGCCCGGGAATTGGAAGAGGAAAAAAAAAAAAAAAGGAGGGGGGGGGGCACGTCAGCAACCACGTCAGCAGACCCAGTCAGCAATCCCGGCCAACCAGGACCTGCCACGTGGTAAAACCACGTCGACTGGGGACGGGCCACGTTGGCGATCTGCGTACGCGCGATCGGACGGCCCAGATCAAGCGTGCGTACGGACGGCCCAGATTAAAATCGCACGGACGGCCTAGATTTAATCAAAAAACAGACGACCCAGATTAAAACAAAATGGACGGCTGAGATCAAAAGGCAAAAGGGTATAAATAGAACCTCCACACCAGACCACAGAAACCCTAGCCGCCTGCCCTTGCCGGAGAAGACGAACCAGACGCCGGAGACGCCAGCCGCCGCCACCCGCCGCCGCGCCGGGGAGATTTCCGACCGCCGATAGAGGTAAATTTCATACCCCCGACTCGTTTTTCCACGCTGATTTTCCCTGTGGCCAAATCGGAGCCAAAATCCCGGCCAAACGGCCGGAAAACACGGCCGAAACCCAGCGGCACCGCCGCGCCCCTTCTCGGTTTTTGCCTCCGATGAGGCCCTTCCCGACCTCCGTTTGATGCAATTTTTATATCACCGTGATCATCATTCTTTTCTCTACAGGTTGATCGGAGCCGAATCACCAAAACACGAACTTCACCGGAGAGACGCCGCACCCGAGAGCACCGCCGCCGGTAAGCTTCGGTTTTCCGTAATTTTCTGGCCCCCCGAAGGCCCTAGGGTTGTTTTATCGCAAGGATCGATGCAAGTGTGGCCGAAAACGACCAAACCGAGGCGAATCGCCGCCGCAAGCGGCGGTGCCGTCACCGGAGCACGGCGGAGCCGCCGTGCTGGAATTGCGATATTGGCCAAAAAGGGGCCCTGGGCCTAATTTTGGATTTTTTGGAACACGTGCAGGTACCAGTAGTGCGTTTCAGTTCCCCAAGAAAAAATTAAGGGAAAATTAGGAACAGTCTGTAGGCGCACTGTGAAGCCGTGTTCGGACCCCGAAACGTGTAAGGACCCCTCACCCTATTTCCTATCACGGTTTTAAAGTTCAATAAATGATAAACGGTATTTCATGAATCAACGAATGTGTAAAATTGCTTAAGGTCGCTAATGGAGCCCGAGTCTAGTGTGTTTGTCGGTTACTGTTATTTGGCATGTTTTACAGTTTACATGCAGTATGAGTTTGATGTTTTCATTTTATAGTTTCGTGTGCATATTGTACTGTTTTATTGATTATGGATTGAATGACAA